GACCCACCACTACTGTCAACACCACAAGATAGCTCTAGTGGAAGAAACTGGACAGTACTCAGGAAATTCTCACTTCTGCTGCGACACGTTTGATCTCCCTCAGCTGCTCCTCCGAGGGCTCCTCAGGCTGAGGTCTCTTCCTAGCCTTACGACCACCCTCAGCATTGTCTCGTCCCCTACACCTCTCATCTCGCGGTCCCAAAGGCCATCGGGGCCGCACTTCTACGAACTTCTCAGCCGATTCGGCAGTGCAGGGCGCGCGCTCATACAGACCCTCCTTGAGATGCTCTATAGCGTTCCAAGCCACCATAGTGCCGTTATCAGTACAGAGCCTAGTAGGAGGACAATATAGCATGAGACCCTTCTCCTTGGCCAGCTCCTGCATGTTAGACCGAACGCTCTTGTTTGCAGCAACTCCACCAGCGACCACCAGGTCCTTGATGCTGCCGTCGATTTCCAAGGCCCAATCAATGGCTCGGCCAGCCCGTTCAACAAGATGGTCTACACAGCGCTTCTGGAAAGAGGCCGCCATGTCAGGCTTGCTGTACTTGCCTCCCTCGATGAGGTGTCGCATCGATGTCTTCAGCCCAGCAAAAGAGAAATCACAACCATTCTTCAGCTCAAGATCACGGGTCTTGGCTAGAGGCTTGGCCAGCTCTCGCAGGCACGCCCTGGGATTACCCTCGCTCGCTAGCTTCTCGAGAACGGGGCCACCAGGGACGTCGTGGATGTCCAACAGCCGAGCAACCTTATCGAAACACTCTCCTACAGAGTCGTCCAAGGTTGAGCCCAGAATGATATGATCCCCCATTCCTCTGGTCAGCACCGCCATGTTGTGACCACCTGAGACCAGTAAGGTGACGAATGGGAACTCCGGCCGATGTGGGGAAGGGGACGTGGAAGAGGCTGTCGGCGTCGGATCAGGCTTCCTCGTCACTAGCATATGAGACTCCATATGATGAGTCCGTACCAACGGAAGGTCGTATTTGGCTGCGAGCTCGATGGCACTCTTCACTCCAACCTGAACGCACACGAAATCTACTGTTGCGACGAACTAGTCTGCGGAAGCGTCTTGCCACTGCGCTAGCTAGTCATGAACATGAACCACGAGATGGCATGCGCGAAAATCTCCTCAGAAGCCAACGAGGGCAACCCATCTCTGTACAGTCGA